CCCCAGGCCTCCCCAGCACCCACTGGCGCCCCTTGGGAGCGTGGCCCTAGCCCTGGACTTCGAAGCTCCAGCTTGCAGGGGAGGATCTCTGGGCCACTCTCCATTTCTCATCCTTAACCCCACACCTGCCTCACCCCAGCTCCTCTCTTAGTGGAGGTGGCACTGGCCCCAGACCCACCTTTTCTTTCACCGCTACCTTCACCATTGGTTTGCCTTTACAGACACTGTTTTGGTTGCATAGATGGGCCTCGCTGCCAGCCTCAAATTTCACATATTCTGTTCCTTCTGGAACATTCTTTACTTAATAACTCTGGTTCTTCAAATTTCCTATCAGCATCTCCTTCCTTAGGAATTCTGCCTTGACTTCCCCTCCTAGATGGGGGTTCCAGGACTGTGAAGGTCGTCCTCCTTCCTCTCTTCCACTGGTGATTTTTTTTTTTTTTTTTGTGGTGCTGAGGATTGAATCTAGGGTTTGTGCATGCGAGGCAAGCACTCTACCAACTGAGCTATGTCCCAGCCCTCCACTGTTGCTTTTAATGTCCAGCCTAAACAGGGGCCGCTCCTATCTTTTCATTGTTTGTTTACTATAGTAGTTTTTATTTTTTAAAAAAAATTTTAGTTGTATATGGACTCAATACCCTTACTTGTTTTTATGTGGTGCTAGGATTGATCCCAGTGCCTCACACTTGTGAGGCAAGTGCTCTACCACTGAGCCACAACTCCAGCCCAGTTTATTTTTACTTTTATTTATTTATATGGTATTTGGGATGTTCAAGTTAGGAAAGTGCTCTATCACTTAATGAATACATTTCCAGCCCTGTAGTAATTTAAAATTTTTTTTTTCTTAAAACAAAGTCTTGCTATGTTGCTGAGGTGGCTCGCACTGAGCTCAAGAGATCCTCCTGTAGTCTCCTAAGTAGCTGGGGTTACAGGCAGCACGCCCCCCAGCTTAAAACTATTTTTAATGAATACAAGTTTTCCAACAAAATTGTTTAATTTTAGATAACAAACGAATTATGTAAGTTCTAGATAATACTATTTACCCTTTAAAATTTAGAGCCTAGTATTTATAACAAATGTCTAGTAAGGTCAGAGAACTCCCTTCTCTACTGTCTCTTGAGGAACACCTGGTTGGTCTTTAGCAAGTACAAAGAAGTAAAGTGACTCCATATCTTTTTACTTCTCTTCTGAAGCTCTCTCCCTCTCCCTCTCTCCTTTTATACCCCTGACAGCATAAAATAGAAATATATGTATTTTTTTAAGGGAGATGGAATTCAGAAGCACTTAAACACTGAGCCATATCTTCTCAGTGTTTAAGTGCTTCTGGATTCCATTCCCTTTTTTTTAAAAAAAAAAGTGTGGATAGGGAAAATGTGAATGGGTCCATTGTTTTATTTTTTTTCTTTATAAAACAAAACTGCAATTTAATTGAAAATGGGCTTCCACAGAACAATAATACTCTTCATTGAAAGTGAGTTATGCTTGGTGAAAAAAAAAATACGTTGATCCAGAAAAGCTATTTGGAATCATCATCAAGAAGAACCTTCTTCTCTTGTTAAACACTACCTCCCTCACCCCCACATACAGCCTGAAGGACCATAAGACCTAGGAGTCCACACCTGGTTCCTCCTCCCATTGTCCACTTTGCTCAAGTGAGACTTCCACTCTAGCATCTCTGAACTTCATCAAGAACCAGCAGGGGCTGTGTGTGGGAAAAAGGGACACCGTCCATCACCTTGCTTCGAACTCTGCTATGTTCAAACTACACAGCCCGAGGCAGGCCTTGTATATCTCATTCCCTGTCTCTAAAAGGGAGATGGCATCACCGGGCTCACAGCACTGGCATGAGGGTTAGTATCTTCCCTCAACAGGGAGACCCTGAGTCAAGAACCACTCTGGGCCAGAGTTGTGCAAAGGGAAGGAGCGAGGGCAGAGTTTGGGTAGACAACAGCACTCTGGCTCTTCCAAGAACTAGGGTCCCCAATCTCCTGGTACTCTTGTGGGTAGAAGCATGAGCAAAGGGGAAGTGTGGCTGCACCCAGCCCACATGTCACCAATCTCAGTTCCCCCTGGTGGGACAGGGCCAGTGGCAACAGGGAGAATGGCTCCACAGCCCCGGGAGCCTGAGCAGTTCTGTGTCCAGGTGTCTAAGTCTAGACAGCTGAACGATCCCTGTGCCCACTTCCTCTGGCTGGGGAAGCTTGTCATAGGCTGAGCATGTGGTAAGGGGGTCCCTCCCCTGCTTGAGTATAAGCCAGTGTTTTTGAGCAGAGGCAGGAAGGTCCAGGGGAAGCCACGTCACCAGAGGGAACTGAAAGAAACCAGTGAATGGCAGGGAAGGAAGACAGAAGCCCACAGGCAGCTGGAGAGGACTCCCACCACCTCTGGGCTAGTGCCCTTCACCAGGCCTGGGCAGATGGCAGCTGCCATTGCTTCCCAGTGCTTTCCTTCCAGGAAACCACTTCCTCAGGCCTGGGCTCTCAGGGTTCCCCAGACTGGCCTGCTTCTAAGACATCCTGAATTTCTGAGAGTTTGTTGACTGGACATCAGGCAGAGTCCCACAGGGCTCTCAAATCCTGGCTCCACCACTCAGGAGCTGCAAGACCTGGAGCAAGCCTCCCCCTCTCCTGGAAGCTCCCTGTCCCCCCTGTCAAGTAGAAACCGTAATATCTATGTCACAGAGGGGCTGCGGGTTCTAAATTCAACAAAGTACCCATACCTGCCAAAATAAGCTGTAGACAAAACCATTTTCTTGTCCAAATTCCCCTGCCCTTCCATCACCTTGCTTTAGGGTGAGAGACAATAAATCCTTAAATAATATATTTGGGTGGCGTTTCAAGAGATGGCCCACAGGCTGTGGCTTTGCTCCATACAGGAGTTGGGGAAGGGTTAAGGGCAGAGGCAGGACATACTCTGATGGAAGTTTTAACAATACTCCAGTGCTTTTGTGTGAGTGTGAGTGAGTGTGTGTGTGCATGTGTGTGTTATATAGGACTGAACCCAGGGGTGCTCTACCATGAGCGACATCCACAGGCCTTTTTATTTTTTATTTTGAGATACGGTCTCCCTAGGTTGGCCAGGCTGGCCTCAAATTTGCCATCCTCGTGCCTTAGTCTCCCACACAGCTGGGACTGGGCTGTGCTAACGCACTGATAAACCCAACCTGATCTTTTATTAAATTGGGAGCCCTCTCACCACAAAGCCATGAAAAGCTAATTTCGGCTTTACTATAAATTACTGCAAATTCTGAACCTGCTTGGAATGCCTGCCCGTGCCTTGAACTCACCCATGCCTGGCTCTCTGACCAGATAGCAGCCCTCTCTGAAACGTTAGTGACACCTCATAAATATTGGCCTTCCCTGGCCAGACAACGACCCTCTCTGAGGCTCTAATGGTCTTCATAAATTCTGATGTTGGGGCCAGCAAAAAATGTAAACTACTATTAGTGTGATGCTTGTCAGAGTCCTGTTATCTGTAACCCCCCTTTTGTGTAACTTTCTGGGCTATAAAGCTGGGCTGTAGGAAAGCTGGGGCTGCTGTCTTGTTCCTGCCGTTTGGGGAGGAAAAGGCAGTCCGGCCGGTCGAAATAATAAGCTTGCTTTAATTTGATTTTCATTGGAGTCAGTGGTCTTTTCTTGCGTCCTGGTCTAACAGCACCTGGCTCTCAGCAAGTGCATCCTGCGGTTTCTGGTAGCTCTAGCTTATTCAAAGGCAGGGATGCCACAGCTGGGCCTTCCTCTCTCTTTCTTACTAACTGCTATCTCCTCAGAGCTTTCTGGGGTATGACCTGGAAATCCCCTGCTTGGTCAGCATTGTCACTTGGACACCTCTGGACCTCAGGACTTCACCTCCCCAACCTACCGCTTCTCTTGTCCCATGGCCTGAGGTCTAGCATGCCACCAAGTCACCTCCTCCAGCCCAGGGTCTGGCTTTTTGTTTTGGTACCCTTAATGGAGCCAATGCTAGGGCTGGAGATGTGGCTCAAGTGGTAGCGCGCTTGCCTGGCTTGAGTGCGGCCCGGGGTTCGATCCTCAGCACCACATACAAACAACGATGTTGTGTCCGCCGATAACTAAAAAAAAGTAAATATTAAAAATTCTCTCTCTCTCTCCCTCTATTACTCTCTCTTTAAAAAAAAAAAAAGGTTGTATATATATATATATATATATATATATAAAAGAGCCAATGCTAGTTCCTTTCCCCAAGCCCTTGTCAAATCTCTCCCTGATACCCTGAGACCTGGCTCCAGCTCCTTCACCGTGGGCTCTGTTCTGGCTTCACCCCCTCCTCTGGACCTTGGATTCACAGCTTAAACTGGTCCCCAGGTCCT